TTTCCTTTTTTTTTTTAAATCATAAGATCGTTCTAAAATAGAATGGAATAATAAATCAGAGTGCCTCATTCACTATATATTCATGAGAAGTGTAACTGCTTCTTACTATCCTCAGAAATCCGTCCACAGCATATTAAGTACACTAGAGAATCATACCAGCGAAAATCAAATTGATTTTAAAACTTCTATACATATAACAAGAAGCAGCCACGCTCCGAGTCCAATGGTGCTGGCGTTTCTACAGTGAAAGGGATTGAAATCTAGGATGACTCCACTTGACGGGATTTCCTTGACCTGCAATAGCTTTGAGCTGTCTCACCAGCTTACTCCACTGCATTCAATTTCAAATCACTTAACTTTACTCAAGTTATTCAAAATGGATACGCAAAACCTTACTCTGGGATTGCAAGCAAAATGCTGTCATTTATATTTTTGAGTAGGTAATATTTTGACCAAACTACCATTCCCCTAATCTATATTATTGGGTTTTAAGCCCTGGGTCTAATTTTAAAGAAACCTATAGATTTCTTTAAAAGCCAGAAACCTACTGGCTTCTGGGGAATTTTGGCTGCTGAAAAACTTCATGTTTGGTCCCTCTGATTATACAGAAATACAATATCTGCTGTGTGTAAGGTTAATGACCATTAACAGGGAGGTTTTCAAAAAATCATTTAAAAATGTAATCTTTGAAATTGCTGAAAAGTAACAGTTACCAGTAAGGCTGAAAGGTTGAAGGAAGGCTAAACTTAATTAAAATGATGAACTAAAAAATCAACTAGAACTAAGTATTGTTGTTAAACTGAATTTGTATTAGGGATCAATTAAAACAAGTACTTATCATTTAAAGATATGTCTATATCCTTACTTGTTCAGAGAAAGATCATAGAAATTTCTTGATAAACTATATTTATGATTGCCACGGGAGTGAAAAATTCATACAAAAATAAAAAATTGCATACTGATTTATTAGGTAGTTTGAAAAGACACTTCATTCTTCTATTATACTGCATTTGTACCGAAATAAAATATTGATATTTTCCAATAATAATGATTGAATTAAACATTAGCTAAAGGGACACATGGTTATATAAACCTTATGGGATGGTACAATGTGTAGAATACCATTATACTATTCATAGTGCATTATAGCTTATCTGTCCCCTCCTTTTGATTGGAAGCAATTTGAGAGCAGGGACTGGTGTTGATTCTATCTCTGAGTCCCCAGAGCCTAGCAAAGTACCTAGCACACAGTAGGCATTCTGAAATCTTGGGGAGTAATTGAGTAAATAAACAAATGAATGTTGTCACAGACATGTGGAAGTCAACAGTTGTTATATGGGGAGAAATAACTGTATTAACCAGCAGGGCATTCTGGATAAAGCATTCTACTGCGACCACTCCAAAGCAGCTAATCACCAGTCTTCACAGTCTCTTTGGCTCGTCTGAATTTTTCACACTTTGCTAAACGAATGGATTCTTGTAGTCTGACCACAAGTAAATACATTAATACCAAAGCATAGGCCACATGACCACTCTGAGATTACCTCAAATGTGCATTCCAGCGTGAAGACTATGAGCTAATCTTTCCTACAAGCAAGGACAGCTAAGGTACACCAACTCCCACTCTTAACCCAAACTCCTTAACACTTTTTGGTGTTTAAAACATCGTCTCCACATGCTCAGTAAAGGAATCATGAGCATGAAGTTCTTGTGACACAAGATTCCAAAGTAAATTTCACAAAATACATCCTTCACCCGAACATTTGCTCATTTCAGTAATATGTTTTCATCCCTTCCATGTCCCACCTGTCTCCCATTCAATACAGGATAATAATATGATATAACCTACTATCTACACACTTCCCTGAATAATGTGAGAATGAAACTGTAATATGGAAAATCAATGCGGAAGAAGTTTCTCTGGGAATCTGTATCAAATTAATTATTGTGAGAAAGGGACTAGTAATCTATCAGTAGTACAACTAAGTGTTATTACCAACATAACTATTGACTGTACTGCCCTGAGCGCCAGGCACAGCAGAATTTTTATATGAACACCGATCCTGACTACACATTTATTTACTTCCTTTTGGCATTTGAATATCCGTCTGCATATCAAACAACAGTGGATTCTGTGGTTTCTATCCACTCTGGCTATCTTTCTTGGGGTTCTGACGGCTCTTCAGGGTTTAGTGAACTTACTAAGTGTGGGAAAACCAAACCCCTTACAAGGCCAGGAGGAACTGGTTTTCAAGTTGAACCAGACCAGCCATCCAAATCAGAGGAAGATGAAGAAGAGAAATTCAGTGTTTAATAGATCTACAGAGAGTATCAATATACATGAAATGAAGAGACTATAACTCTGTGAAGGAATCAGTATGTTCTAACACATTTAGATTTCTAATGGGTATGCATATTTGTTGAAATGTTAACTTAAATTTTTTATAAAAATTATAGATACTAGCTGCTAAGTGCAATGTAGAAAATTAAAGTTCCTAAA